TAGCACCTCTGGTCATTTTCACAGCTAAAAATGTTCAACCTGCCCTTCTGGAATGAGGTGGCCTAACTTGTAATATGAAAGCAAATCATGTTCGGTCACCATTGAATAAAGAATCAAGTCAGCAGTGCGTACAAACATCAGGTATCTGTTACAACCAACGAGTCTGGAGAAGGAGCTGTGAACTGGTCTAAAACTTCAAGGTAATTCTTTGGAACAGTACCAAGCCCAATTTTCTACCTCTGGTCTCCAAGAACATTTTAAAGAGAAACACTAAATTTATTTTGTTCCATATTAATTTGAAACATTGAAAGCCCATCAATCACCCACGTCGTTTTGAAAGCGAGGAAAACACTTCCCTGGAAAATGACAGTTTGGTCTTCCAGCTTCTTGGTTTGGGGAAGGGCCTCACTTCCTCTATAAACTGCTGAAGGAGAAAATGTCTCCCTGCTGCCGGCTCGTAAGGTGCCCAGGGTGACACAGGGCCAGGGGAATGTGGGAGAGCGCAGGGCCGCGGAGGGGGCACTGCGGGCAGCACGTGTCAGGAGGGCAGAAGTGGCTGGACTCCTTCCCAGGTCCTCCGTGAGGAGAGGTTACGGTGCAGCCAGATTCCGGCAGGGCTCGCCCTCCCCACAGGGCTGGGCTGTACTAACTTCATGACCAGGGATGCTGGACAGTGTCTGGCAGAAGGCATTTGACAACATTTGCCTGTTTCCTGCTGGGAGCTGCCTCCAGATCACGTGGCCCTGATAGTTTTAGGCTGCTTGGCCACTGTATTATTTGTCCTAGAGTGGAGATGGTCTCTAGGGCGATGGGGAAGGGGCTTGTGCCAAGGGAAGGTGGAGAAGCAAAGAGCTCCCAATCCAATTCCACGACAAGCCAAGCATCCAGGGAGAGCCTGGTGCTATGAGACCCCTTTCCGGCCTGCCTGCCTCCCCATCCTCAGGGGCTACATACCTGGAGAGAGGGGACAACATGAAGGGTGTAAATGCCTCAGCGAATGAGGTGCCGTGATGTGACGCTAGCTTCCTATTCTTTAAAATTGTTATTTTGTACTGTGGGTGAAAATATAAAATGGCAAAGCCATTTGGGCAATTTTGTAATCCCATTAGCATTTTCTGTGCAGCCTGTGCTTGCACTTCTTGAGATCCACCTCGAAGGGACATTTAACAGCTCTGCAAGGGGGACAGATGAAGATGTTATTTGGGCCTTTGTTTGTAATGAGATTTGGACACAACCTAAGTGTTCATCAGGAGGAAAGTGGTGAAATTAAGTTCTGCTATTGTCTGACATGAAATCCTGTGCAGCAGTTAAAACGAGGTTGTTCTTTATGGACTAAGATGGGCATTGCTTCAGGACAGCCTGGTGAGGAGGGAAGCAAGATGTGGATCCAGACAGTGTGACAGAATGTGGAGCAGCATTTTTAGTGTGATTTGGCTGCATTCTTTTCCTATAGGAAAAACTATTAAATAAAAAATCACAGCTCAGAAATTTCTATCGCTATATATGCATATAAGTACATAAAGATAGAGAGATAGATACACTTACACTCCTGACCAGTAACAGGGCTGCTCTGGAAGGGGAGGCAGGAACTAGAATGAAGAATGGACTTTAGACTTATCTATAATGTTTTAGTTTTTAAACAAGGAAGTGTCACTTGTATAAATAAAATAAAATAGAAACAAAATATGTATTTATTGAATTTGTTGTATCTTGCCTTTTCCTAAAAAGCTAACCAAAGAAAAAGAAAAAGGAGAACATTAGACAGAGAGACTAAAAAGTACATAAACTTTACATTTAGCTCTGAACTCCCTGGTAACCAGTGCAAATTATGTAACTCCTTCTTATAAGATGGAGGGTACATCCAGTTCCTTTTGAGAGACAAGGGTTCATACTGAAACTATATTCTAAAAGAATTTGCTCGTGTGGAACTTTATATAGGAGATCACACGTCCTCCACACGGTTTTAAGAATGACTGTTCCTAATTAAGTTGAGAGAAATGTCCTCCTTTGTCTTTCCTTCTGTTTACAGGCCCTCTTCCCCTTTATTGCTCCACTCCTCACTCCATGTGCTCCACACGGGCTGCCTTCAGCAGCTCCTTGAACAAGCCCAGCCTGCCCCCCATCCTAGAGCAGTGTGTGCTATGCTGCGTGCCCAGGTTACGCTTCAGGACTGAAGTGTCCTTCCCTACGGCTGGAGGGCTGGTTGCTGAGGCGGAAGCCTTCCCGGGCACTTGTCCTCAGCAGACTGTGAAGGGAACTAACTGCCTTGCCGAAAGTTACACCCTCTCCCAGGGGGCAGGCTGCATCCAGTGATGGAAAAGGTAGGGGATAAAGGCCTGTCTAGAGTCTGGTCATCTCTGAAGGGCTGGCCTAGCTTCAGAACTCCCTGTGGTAACTGTTGAAGCCTCCTCAAAGCCTGGCACCCGCTCTGCCTACTCCAGTGTCCCTCACACCCCCACGGTGTCCACGCTGGGTGCATGTCCAAATAAGCCACCTGCATGCCACACCTCTGCTCAGGTGGCTCTAGGAAAGCCTGACCTACGACAGTGCGACAGAAGCTGCTCCCTCTGCCTAGAACCTTCCCCGTGGATTTTCACACCGTCATGCTCTCAGTGAGGACTTCCTGTCGTACAAATATCCTAATAAACGTAACTTCTTCAAAAAAGCTTTCCCTCACTACTCAACCTAACAGAGCCTTGGAGACACTATCACATCAGCCAAGTCTCATTTTCTGCACAGCACATGTCATCATCCAATACATTCCTTCCTTCTTTACCATTATCATTAAAAAAAATTATTACCCATTTTCCCTCTCATCAGCCTCCATTCGGTCTATCTTATCCACCACTGCACTGTCAGAGCCTAGAAAATAGCAGGTGCTCACTAAACATTCCTTCAATTAATGACTGAAATTCTATCCTAAAACATAAAGGGAAATGGACAGCAATTTGACGTTCTTTGAACAACTTGTTGCCTTTTGACAAATATGAGATGAACATTCACAAATTTTCAAATCTGATTTGGCCTTGAAAGCAGTTTTGTGAAAAAAGAGAAAAGAAAAAAAAAATCCCCAGCCTGACTTTGTGAATTGGAAGATGAATGATCTTCCAATGCTCTTCTGGAATGATCTATGTGATTCTTTATAGAAAAACAGGTTTTTGTATAGAATTAGGTACAGTAGAAGGAGAACTCACTGCGCATACGTCAAGAAGGACAGAAGCCCTGCTTCAGGATGCCCCTGTGGGACTCGGAAGGAAGGGGTGCGCTGAGCGATTGCCGGGGGCTGTTCAAACACTCCTTCCCTCTTGACCACCACCGCTATCCTTACTTTGCTGGTGAGTAGACAGAGACCCAGAGAGGTTAAGGACCTTGTTCAAGGTTATACATCTGGGGAGTGGCAGAGCCAGGAGTTAATTTCTGGCCGTCTACTTGAGAGACTGCGCTGTGTACAGCCTTGCTGTTGCCAGGCAGAATGTCAGAGAATCACAGAAAAATAGGCATGAAGAAGATGATTTTCTTCTAGTTCCTTTCCAATGTTTTATTCTGACATATACAACATAACATGTTCAGTTATTAAAGTCAGAGAGAGTGTTTGTTGATTCTTTGCATTTCAAGAAGACCCCATGCCCCAAATCCTTTACACTGATGCCTCATTTGATGTCTTGGCATCATGGGCATTTGTGTGGCCATAATTTGGAGGGAAGGGTGCAGAGGAAGAGTTGACCAGGGAAGGTGACCAGAATTTTAAATGAAGTGAAAAGAAGAAAATGTAATGAGGAAAAGAATATAGGGACAAAATGAGGGAAACAAGCTAAAAGTCTGGAAATAGAGCTCTTGCAAACAACCTTCACTCTCCTGGTAGCAAATCAAGCTAACTGCTGAGACTCTTGTTAGAGAAGATTGAGTTACATTCCTGGATGCGTTCTCCCGATGTTGTTTTCCCCTCACCTGTGCACGGGTTAGTCAAGTGAATCTAAAAAGACTTGCTCAGTAAGGCCCATATGCTTACTTTTCTCATCTATTCTTTTCTCCATCCTTCATGATTCTTCTCTTCCTTTCTTCCAAAGCATGGGCTTTGCGGGCAAAGACCCAAAGATTCCTGCCTTTGCCACCTTGCGGCTCTATGTATATTCAGGCAAATGATTTAACTGATGAAACTTTATTTTCCTTATCTGTAAAATGGGCATAACAATACCAACCTCACAGAATTGTGAGAATGAAATGAGGCCCGTAAACAAAGTGCTAGCATGGAGGCTCACACACAATAGATTTTAGTTGCTTTTCCTACTTCTCTCTCCCTGCCCCTCCTTCCTTAATTCCTTCAGCTTTGCTGGGCTGCATTGCTTGGAGAATAATAGCCCTTAACCGATAAGCTCTTCGGAGGGGTGAATCTCATCACACAGGTCTGGTCTCAAAGCTACAATGTAATTCCTAAGTGAAGCCAGTTTTGAGGAGAATTTGCCTATAAATACTGAACATGCCTGCAACTGCTTAAAGATCATCATTAACTAGGACATCAAGTGTAAGAGGTCCAACTATTAAAGAAAAAGCCACTCAAGCAGATAATTTTTGTTAATGTTCTTAATGTTAAAACAATTGTAGTACAGTTGCAATTGATTATTAATTCATTAAGGGCTCACTGATGGGGTGAACAGACCTATGTTTCTATAATTTGCTACAACATTATTAGTTGTAAGAGTGGATTCTATTAAAATCAATTAATAACATCCATGTGGAATCCAGTTCTTGCCAGTGTTTTGATGAGGAAAAACAAAATCTACCCCCAATTAAAATAAATAAGAAAATTCGAATCTCCAGGCTAGACCTAGGTTAAGCCATTTTACACACAGTTGCAAATTAAACTGATTGCATGTGGGCTATTGGATGTCAAGTTATCATGACAATGTCAAAATACCCAAGTGATAGCCTATCCTATCGGTAGGAAGATATGGTTACAGGAGCTTCCCATCAAGAGAGAACTTGCTAAAAATGGAACTTACCATTGCAGAGTAGCAGGAGTGGAGTGGGGCTTGGATGCTCTATTATTTTCTTTTTCCTCATCTGTTCAAGGGAAAAAAAGAGGAGCTAATTTCAGTAAGAAAAAGTAAAAGGCCTCTCCGTTCTCCCAAGTTTCAAAAGATTGTTTCCCTCAAATGTCAGTGCTTCAAGAGCGCTGATATTTTGGCTTTTCCATCATGTTAGATTGATTCTTTTGTCAGGAAAAATGGGAGAACTGACTTTTACAGAAAACTCTTAACCAGTTTGCATTTTTTATTTGAAGAGCTGTCTCCCTTCATCACTGAATATGACTGCATTCTCCCAGCTTCCTATTTTCTCAGCTGAAGCTGGCATTTGCCTTGATAAGTTTGGGCCATAAGAACACCCTGACCTGACTCAACATTTGCTTTTTGTAACCCCAGTGGCACAGGCAGTTGGTGTAAGGTAGGGAGAGAGTGCAAGTGTTCAGGACAATCAGATTAGCAATACAATAGAACAAGGGTCAGCAAACTTTCTCTGTAAAGGGCCAAATAATAAATATTTTAGAGTTTGGGTGCAAGAGGCAAAATCAAGAATATTATGTAGTATTTAAAGTAAACAAGAGAAAAAAAATTCTACAAAACTTCTATTGGCAAAATTCAAAATATAACAACAGTGAGTATAATTTTTGTAATACAAGTCTATGAATGAGAAGAACAAAATCATATTGGGATAGCAGGCAATGTTCTTAACTGGGCTTCAGAGTTCACATTCCGTATCATCAAATGGATTACAAATACTCATCTATAAAAACCAATTTTTAGCTTACAGTCCTGTGAAAACAGGTACCAGCCTAGATGGACTGCAGAGTTCTAGTTTGCTGACTCTGCAATACTGCAATCTGAGCAACAGACCAGTCTTTGCATCTAAGAACTGCTCAAAAATTTTATCATGGATTAACTGAGAAATACATATAATTAGTCTCATCCAATTCCTAGTGAAAACTATTGATAGAAATAGTCAACATAAAATAAAATAAAAATTTCTTGATCCACAAAATTTGACCCAAGAAGACTGGTATAAATAACATTCTCAAATGCAAATTAATAACGTCAAAGCCTACAAGTATAATCAAATAAGAACATGTGAAATAGTTAAAGAAATAAATCTGTGATAGAAAATTTATATGGAAAGGAATTTGTACCCATAGAACATACCACATCAAATATTTTGTTGAATAAATTAGTTTAATATAGTTGTGTTCAGAAAATATTTTCTTGATGAAAGTAGATCAATATCGGTATAATTATGATTCAAATGTTTGCTTATAAACACTGCAGCATAGGCTAAAGGGGGAAGTAAATAAAAATCCTATATATAAGGCAAAAAAACCCAACTGTAGCCTCCACTTAGTCAACAACTGTACATACCTCCTCCTTAATAAACAGAACTCCAACTCAGAGAGGACCGTGTGTTCAGGAAGGGTGGTCCCTTCTCAATTCCTAGAGAGGTGAATGTTGATTGACTTAGATCTATCATGGTAGTTTTATGTCATCTAGCCACTGATGGGGTAGGTGGGGCATGACATAGTGTGGGCCTATCAGACTAAAGGAGAAGCTCTCTGCGGGCTTCTGTGAAAGATATTTTTACCTAATAAAAAGGAATGGAGGCCTTGATATTTAACTTCCAGCCTTCAAAACTATGAAAAAATGTTGTTTTATGCAAAATGAAGTGAATGAATGAATGAATGAATGAATCAATCAATCAATCAATCAATCAATTGATCAATCAACAGAGGAGAGACTCTGGCCTGTCCTGCTTTTAAACATGGCCTAGAGGACACAATAACTGGAATGAAGCCCACAATAACACTGGGAAAGAGCAGCTTGGGGATAAAGTCAATGCCAATATAGGCAGAGAGGAAAGGGGAGCAGCCTGGGGGTTCTGAATGTCATGGTGTGCCTCTGATTAACCAACCTTAAAAATAGCTGCCTATTAAGATGTCAGATTCAAAAAGACATATGCACCCCTATGTTTACTGCAGCACTATTTACAATAGCCAAGAAATGGAAGCAACCTAAGTGTCCATCGGTAGATGAATGGATAAAGATGTGGTACATATACACAATGGAATATTATTCAGCCATAAGAAAGAAACAAATCCTACCATTTGCAACAACATGGATGGAGCTACTAGAGGGTATTATGCTCAGTGAAATAAATCAGGCAGAGAAAGGCAAATACCAAATGATTTTTCTCATTTGTGGAGTATAACAACAAACCAAAACTGAAGGAACAAAATAGCAGCAGACTCACAGACTCCAAGAAGGGACTAGCGGTTACCAAAGGGGAGGGGTGGGGAGGGTGGGTGGGGAGAGAGGGAGAAGGGGATTGAGGGGTATTATGATTAGTTCACATGGTGTGAGGGGGTGGTCACGGGGAAGACAGTGTAGCACAGAGAAGGCACATAGTGACTCTGTGGCATCTTACTACACTGATGGACAGTGACTGCAATGGGGTATGGGAGGGACTCAATAATAAAGGTGAATGTAACAATCACATAGTTTTGCTTGTGAAACCTTCATAAGGGTATATATCAATGATACCTTAATAATAATAATATAAAAAGCTGCCTATTTGTTTTGTGAGATGATAAAATGTCCTTAGTTAATAAGATTTCTTTTCATTGGACATTCTCTTCCCTGCCACCAAAACCATCCTAAATGATACACTCAGACTAAATGTTCTCAAGACAAAATGTCCCAATACATCATAGGCTCAACCTGTTCATGCTGCTTTGTCAACCTGGAGATCCTTCCGTTTCTCATTCTTTATAGCCTAGAATGAATGACACCACCTCTCTGAAGTCTTCCCTGATACTCTCCATGTCAGGAATCATTGATCCTGATTTATCTCCCCCCATCACCTGACTCTCTGTTGAACAGTTTAGCCACCTGGGTCATTATTTCCGATCATCTCTCTGACCTGACTGTCCTACTTAAGAAGGCAGGGATGGTGTCTTAGGCCTCTTTGTGTTCCCTCCCACCAGTGCCTTATAAGTGGCACTCAGTGACTCTGCCTTCCACACATATCTTAAACAATCTTAAAAACAAAATAGCACAATAAGGAGCATGAACATAAGAATGTAGGTATATAGACACAAGAACAATACTCACCCTCAGTTGTTCACAAAGAAATGAAAAGAAGGTAACAATGAGGCACAACTTTACATCTCTGAGAGTAGCAAACGTTTTGAATAATGATAATCCCAATGCTGGTGTCTAAATGGTACTTCTCTGTTAACTGGTAACGGTTTTGGTAAGCAATTTGGCAATAATATTGAGAACCTCCTAAAATGTCTGGTCACTTGACCCCATGACCCAACTCCTAGAAATTATACTAAGCAAATAATCAAAAAGAAAGAACTGTCTTAAAGAACATAATCATTTTTTTTAAACAAGCAGAAGTATACAAACAACCTAAATATACTTCTGCCTAGCTTATGCCAGAACATGATTAACATTTCCCTTCCCCCTAGAATGGGCAGGGATTTTTTTTCTCCCCATTTCTTTAAGTTTCAGCATTTCAGCTAAGCTGGACTAGATATCAAAAGACCTATGTTCTAGAGCCAATTCTAAAACTTACTGGCCATGACTGAGCAAACCACTCAACCTCTGAGCTCCATTTTTCTTCATTTATATAAATGGCCATTTTATAGGGCCATTGAAAGGATCCTATTAATTAATCAACAAATATTCATTGACTACCTAATTTATGCCAGCTAGACACTGCGAATAAAAAAATAAGCTCTTGTCCTTGAGTCTAGTTAAAGAAGGAGAAAGACAAACAATGAAGAGAGAGGCCGAGTTCAGTAGGAAGTGATAAATGCCATGATGTGGGTGAGCAACCATGAGCCTGCCAGCTCAGACTGCGTGAAAAAGCAGGACCTGCCTGATGAGGCTTCCTGGAAGAAGCGGTAAGTGAGCTGAGCTCTGGAGTGGGAGACTCCAGAGGATGGGAACTGGGTGACAGTGAAGGTGGGATGAAGTCAGGGGGTAGGGTGGAGAAGGAGAGGGACAAAGACACGAGGACCCGAAGGGCTATCACCTTGGGTGTGGCGGAGGGGAGCAAGGCCGCTGGAGAGCTGCCGACAATCTAGCAACTCTATTCAAGCTCCAAGACAGTGTCTTGCTTCTAAACTGAGGATAATAATAATAATAATGCCTACCTTGCAAGGTTGATGGGAGGACTAGGTGAAATGAAGGTAACAGAGGCTAGGAGCTCACAACGTCAGGTGCAGGAGCCATGTGGCCACGGCTGCCCCTGACTGCTCTGGCTGCCCAGGAAGCCTTGCAGCCTCTGCTCAGCCACAGCTCCTGCAGGAAGCAGGCAAGGGGGACTGCCTCTCTACTCAGGACGATTTACAGGGGCCAGGACAGCCACAGAGACGGGGACCCTGCCAGGCAAACACACCCCAGGGGACATCACAGCTCCAACTAGGAGGTAGCATTTGAGCCAGGCCGTGAAGAGATGGTCAGGATTTTAAAAATAACTGTTTTCTGTTTGCAAAAGTAGTACATGTTCACTTTTTAAAATCTGGAAAATAGAGAGAAAGCAGAAATCTCTGGAAATCCAAGCCCCTCTCAGCAGAGAGAACTATTGTTAATTTTTCTCCTATTGACCTGTGGTGTGTTTTCAGCGTTCTCTTCCGCACCCAAGCACACCCACCTCTAACTTAGGGCAAGTGAGGGCCACGCAGTACATACTGGCTTGTAGCCTGTCTCCTTCACCTTCACGAGCACATTTGGAGTTTAAGAAGAGGACACTGAGTGTGGGGCGCGCTCCAGAGGGAGGAAGCGGCCTGAGGAAAGGCCTGGAAAAGGTAACCTGGGGCCCAGGGCAACAGGCAAGTGGTCCGTTTGGCTGCAGCCAGGGAAGTTCCTTGTTCTGGGATTCTATCAGAGTATCCCACTCAGGGGATACCTGTCTCTACCATGTCAGATCTTTTTCCCAAATAAATTTTGTTATTTGGTCCATTTCTGATACTAATGAATGGAAAGAGAACTGGCTTTAAGGGCAGGCAG